TTCTGTTTTTGGTTAACTAGAATATGTCCCAAAACTATGCAGTGTGTCCGGTCTCTCAAGTGTTAGAGTCCCACATTTGGTTATTTAATAAAGATAGGTTTAAAAGATATTTGGCATGTTCAGGAACAACGTTAGCATTTAGAGTCAGAGGTTAGAGTTGTCACCTGTTAGTATCAGAATCAGTGGTTAGAGTTTTGATTTATTTTAGTATTTGGAAAAAGAACATTTTTAAAAGCTGATAATATACAAAGTACTAAAAAGCCCAAGTTGATCTGTACAAGAAAATGGCGGAAGAAGCAGAAGAACAAGAATATGGTGAGGAGAATAATAACGGTTGAGGAAGAAAAAGAAAATGGCCAGGAGGATAATGGTGGAAGAGGATTGGATGAAAAAGAAAATGGCAGGTAGGAGGAAGATGGCCTAGAAAAGTCAGGGTAAAACTGTAAAAGAGACATTTTACTCTAATTTATTTGCCAAAAATGAAAAGAAAGATGATTTTTGGACATCCCAATAATGAATGTGGGAAGTTTTATGGACGGAGGGATTATGCAAATCGAAAAAAGGTCCTTTAAAACACTTTATGAGATTAAACTAATCATGAAGCAGCAGCGAATGATAGATGTTTCTGTCAATAAACCCATATGATATAAAACAATTATAATGTCTTGTGATAACAATTATTTTAAAACAAATTTTATCTTTTTTTTGCAGTCAAAGTTCTCCAACCTATGAATATAACATTTTTAAAACATAGTAATAATGCTTATATTAAAAAAAATCGTGCTCCAAAATCAATTGCACTATTGCAGTGAATAATTATAAAATCATGTTTCATACCTTAATTCTATTGTGTTCAGCAGTAGGGTTCACATGAACAAAGGAATAAAGAGAATACTGATTTAATTGTAGAAAATTGAAAGCATTTGAATTAATTGCTGGCAAAGATTGGGATTCTTCCATGGAGCAACTCTTTGCACAAGTTAACCTTAGTCTTTTTGTTGTAAAATTGTTTTATATATAGATGGAATTAGGCGCCAAATTTCTAGCTAGATTTTTCAAGGGTAGAAGTGGAAAATTTCTTCTAAACGCCTAATAACAGGGCCGAATGCTGGAATGGTATAGCCTCTTGCATATTGCCGTAAGAGAATATAGGGGAAGAAGTTCATCCTCAATTCTAACAAATTATTTGTCAGAATATGAAGTATTGATGTTGAAGAAGTTCATCCTCAATTCTAACAAAAAACTTAAGGATCCTTGTGGCTTTTCAAAAAAAAAAAAACACGAGGACCAACAAATTATTACAAGGAAACTCGTGTCACCCCAAACTAATTTTTTGCTAAATGCTTAGGTTAATAGCTTTAGCGTTAAACTCCAAAAACGTAGTCGGAAAACATGCCCATTGTGTTGAAGTACGTACTTGATTTGCTTAGTGTAGGTTGATTGAGGAGTCTCATTGAGTACTTCCCACTCAATCCTAAATTTTATTAATAAACAATTCAAAGGTTAGTATGGTGAAACACTTCCTTTTGTGTAAAAAGAAGTCCAACATGTGTTTAAAGTTTTGACTTTAAGTTATAAAGCACTGTACCGTGAAGATAAACAATACTCTCTCTATCCCATTAGTCCGCCTAATTTTCTTTTTAGGTTTCCCAATAATCTTCCACTTTTCTTTTTTGGAAAGTTTTTTGTGGCTCACCTTTTTTCTCATTACTTTTAACCACATAATTTCATTTTTAAAAAACTTTGTGCCAATTGAGTGCATAATTGAGTACATAATTGAATAGATTTTTGTTATTCATACTCCCACAAATAATACTACTTCTGTCCTACCTAGAGTATTTATCCACTTTTATTTTTACACATCATCCAATACACTTCCTTAATCCGTTTTATCTTGTAATTTGTATATTTAGAAATTATATATTAATAATCTATATGTTAAGACAAATCAAACAAGATCACACATGACTATATTTAGGCTTACACATTAAGAGAATTTGATGAGTCGATGAACAATTCCAAAAGTCAAAACTGGACGAATACGGAGGGAGTATTATATATTATATACACGCCAAAGGAAGTAAAGGAATATAGATTTTGATGGATTGATGGCTTTGAGTATAAATACGAATCAAATTATGAATCATGCGCACAATGTAAAGATTTTGCAAAGTCATCGCTATCCATCATCTCCTTCATCGCATGCATCGTCTCCAACTTCTTCTTCTAGCTTCCAGTTGGATGCCTTTTAAGTCTTCAAGGTATGTTCTTTCCTCACTCATCTCTAACATATTGATGATGAGTCGTTTTGTTCTTTCCGCCCTAACTTCACCCTCTTCCGTCCTCTGCCGAGTAGAATTTTATTACCATATGCATCACCCTCTTTAGTCCTCTAGCTTCCATTCGGTTCGGATTATCAGGCATCACCCTCTTTTGATTACTTTATTCCTCTGATTTTTTACTATGACATCACACTTTTTACTTATTTACCTATTTGAATTTTTTTTGTTTGTAATACTGTTAGTTCTTGCTTCTATTTATGTAATTTTGAATTGCTTAAACTTACCTAAAAATTCTTTAAAAAGATTTTTAAATTATAATATTTTAGGTTAATATAGTTATGCACTTATGCCCTCTACATGTTAGAAGAAATGTCTATAAGAGATGTTTTCTTCTTCTTTTTTGTTTAAACAAAGACTATGTTATATCCTCCATGTATTGGACCCACAGAAGAACTTCAAGCTACCTTGTCTTCGTCTATATCTCTCCACCCATCGTGCAATCCTGAATCAACAATAATGACAAAATCATCAACAACAAACCCAATATGTTGCACAATGAATTGAGATCATTTATCTTGCATTTTCTCAAGATTTTATTGTTATGGCTTAGTCGTCAAAAAATTGCTTCTTGGTCAATGTATAGACATACCAAGCCTCATAGAGAGCAGATCAATTGCTTTGATTGGATCCTTGAT